CGGACCCGAAAGGGTTAAAATCCAAACTATATCTAGTTTTTTAACTTTGAAAAATGTAAAAAAAAAGTAGATCTTTTTTTGTTTTTTTAACATTTTAAAACGTGTAAAAAAACTTTTTACATTTTTTTTGTTATATTTGAAAAAATGAAAAAAAAAAAGTAATCTACTTTTTTGGGGCACTAAGGATTTAATGTCCCCTTTTTGGACATTTAAGGGGTTAATTTAGGAACTGAAGCTCTATTTTTTATTATTTTGTAATAGGTGTTTTCATTGAAGCTTTTTGTGAACATATTTAGATAAAGATAGGGAATTTTTTTTGCATTTATGGATTTAGAAAAGGCAATGATAGGTGATAGAGGACAATTTTGGGAGATTTGCAATATATGGAAAGGGGGTAAGTTAAAAGCGTAAAGAGTTTTTAGAGGATAGTGAGGCTCAGGGTTTGGGGTGTGAAGGAGGGAGAATCTTCCCGTAAAAGTAGTTTAGACAGGGAGTGAATGTACCAAAGGGTTGTTTAATATATTTTTTTGTGGGGTTTTTAAAGGAAGAAATGCTGGGTGTTTGGAGAGGGGGGGGGATTAAATTATGGGGGTCAAACAAAAAGGAAAATTTACACAGTTTTCTTTTTGCTGATGAACGGTTGGGGGATTTTAAAGAAAAAATTTCAAAGGTTATGGAGGTTTGGAATTTTGGGAAAGGAGAAAATTGAAAGAACATAGAAAAAAGTAAGGTGATGAGGGTGTCAAAATTTGATAAAGAAAAATTGGATACAATTGGGGGGGGGGAGTAGGAAGAAGTGAATGTTTTTGATACTTGGGGGTGACGTGTGGCGGGGGATTTATGAAATGGGTTTAAACATAGAATTGATGAGGGAAAAAAAGGGGAGTGGGCGTTTAGGTAAATGTTGGTCAAAAAACTTTCTATGGAGGAAAGAAGGGGAAAGATGAAAGTAAGTAGTACCAAAACTCTTTATTTTGAGCTTTGGGGGGAAATGCGCACGAGGGCGGTTGGAGCGTGGAATGTCCGTTTTAAAGGGGAATGTGTGGGAAATATTATGCAAAATTCGGAGTGTGGAAATAGGAGAAGGTGGAGTTTAAAAAAGTATTAGTCAGGGGCAGAAGAGGGGGTTTTTGAGGGGTTTGGCTTTAAGAGAATGGATCAAAGTAGAATGCAGGAAAACATATAAATCTTAGGGGGGGAAAGGGGGGGTGGGGGCGTCCTCGAAAGGGGTTGAGAGAGGGGTAAAGGGGTTTTGTGGGGAAGGGGCTTGGGCTTCCCGCAAGGTGCATGAAACGTGTTGATAGAGTGAATGGGACGAATGGTATTTGGGGCCCGACGATCTTTGGAGTGGAGCAGGGGGAATATTTGTAAGGGATTTAGGGAAACCGGTTTTTTTTTTAAGTCGGGCTTTAGCCGGAAAGGGGGAATACAATGCCGCCCTTTAAAAGGGGTGGTTGGGATATTGGCATTTGGAGGGGTTGTTGGTATCTTTATACGTATAGCTTTAAACGTTGTATTCTGAGCACCTCGCAAAAGCATGAAATGTGTGAGTGGTGAAAGTGTTGAATATGATGAAAGTATTTTTTTTTGGGGGATTTTTTTTTCTTTTTTGGGGCCCCTGCCTCGGGGGGAAAGGGCCGATTGGAAAAAAAAAAAAAAAAAATTAATTTAGGGGAAATGAATTCTATCGTTATTATAATAATCCAAGACCCCAAAAAAAAAATTTTTGCACAATTTATGTAACATGTTGTACAATTTAATTTAAAATGGTTCAGTTCGTGGGAGGAAAAAAAATTTCTTTTGCTCAGCGGCCCCCTTGTTGTTAGCACCGGGACGCTCCCACCATCCCCTACCACTCCCCCGACACCCCCCCCACCCTCCAACATTTTTAATTCAAAATTTTCTAGTCTTTCTCTGCTACAAAGGCAGCTGTGTTTTCAATTTTGTTAGAATTTTAATTTCTATTCTTGTATCGCCCAAACAATCATGACACCCCCGTGCCCTCTGGTTGTGAAAGTGGAATGAAGAGGTATAACATTAAATCTTAGAATTAACAAAGTATTAGACAAAAATAACTGTACCATAATGAATGTTATTTTTTACAAGAAAAAGATTTAACATTGAGTTTGGTGGCTGACGAAAGACTGCTTACTGAGTGACTTTACTTTACTTTTTGAGGACTTGAATGCTGAAAGACTTGACTGGGCTTACTGAATGATTGACTGACTTATTAATACTTTCTGACTTACTGATTACTTGACGACTTTCTAAGTGACTTAACTGACGAATGACTTGATGACTTACTGATGACTTGACTGACTTACGAATGATTTATGACTTTTCGAATGACTTGATGACTTATGAATGACTTGACTGACTTACTGATATTGACTGACTTCTGACTGGCTTGAATGACTTACTAAGTGACTTGACTCACATACTGAATGACCAGACTGACTTATGAAAACTTGTGACTTTTTGAGTGACTTACTGACTTAAATAGTGACTTCTGTAATAAAATTTTATTTTTATTATTGCTGAAAGAAAAAGATAATGATTTCCAGGAATTAAAGCATGAAAATCGTAGATAAAAAAACGAGTTGTCCCGGTTTTGGTTGGGGGCGAAGAGGGAGGGGGGAGCTGGCTTGTAACTCAAATGTTAACTCAGAGCAAAAAATGGGCCCCAGGGACACCCTGTATCTCAAAAAACTCGTAAGTTGGGACACGCGTAAGTCAGGTTTTCCACTGTATTAATGTAATTTATTATGCAACTTTAAGTTGTGGAACCAGCCTGTGCCAAACACACACTTTTCAGGCCTTCCTTATCACACACTGTAAGGCCTTTACCTAATTAAGAGGAAATTAAGTGGTGCACCTTTCTTTGTCTTTTGTTCGATCCAGTCAAGCAACAAGTTTTCTGTTTTATTTACATACGTGTTGGGAACTACATGTCATCTTTTCATGGAGATGACGTCATGGGTTATTCATTACCAAGCTCGTAATTTGCTTCGTTCTTTTTAATTGTACGAACTGACGCTTCATTAAGGCCATAGGCCTTCACTATATCCACCACATGTGAAACCACTCTTAAGTTACAAATATCTCATTTTCTTCGGCAATTCCTAGACTTGAACGCTTAAAAACCTTTTCTTGTCACTTTCAGCAACACTTGTATGCTTACTGGGTGCCAACAAATAGCAATGAAAATATGTACAATGAATGTAAATAAACACAGTGAGGTTCCCGAGTATCATCGTGTATGAAATGAATGAAGGCTGGGAGCGTAGTTGGGTGGGTGTGGGTGGCGAGGGAATGGCGGTTTGGCCCCCCCATTGACTCAGTGGTTTAACCCACCCCGGGCGACCACACGCTCAAATTTTTTTCCCCTTCCCCCCAAATCCGTTAAATTTATTTTATGAAGTCTTACATAAAATTGTGCCGCAATTCTTCAATCGTGCTATGCCCGTATCGTGCCAAATAAACTCGTTTAAATGACTGTCTACTGACATGAAAAATAGATTTTCATCCACAGAAAACAATGAGACATGAAAAATAAAACAATAATAACATCACACATACCTTTATAAAGACTTGTTGGTGTATGAATAAAAATGTCATTACGTATGTTAGGAGCTGTGGTGGCGACACGGGAGTGTGTTTGGAGGCAGGACAAGATAGTCCTTTAAATGAACAATATCAACTCATGGCTTATTTATCTATCACAATTTATCAATATGACATAATAAACAATGTTAAAAACTGAAAAATGACATATACTCTAGAATGAATAAAAAAAATTTATTATAACCACCAGTGGTGGGTACTTTGGTTGGGGGGG